TACAATGGACGGTTAAAGGCAGGATGGGGAGGGATGCTGTCACACATGCCCTCGATGATTCCTTCCAGCCATTCCCGGCTTTATATGTGTAATTAACAACAGATGCACATGAAAAATTAGCATATGTTTGGCACATTGGTACTAATCTCACATATATTTGTGCATATTCATGAAATATATATGTGCAGATATTTCGAGTCACATCAATTCTCACGATAAAAAAAAAATAAGGTTTGATAAGTATACTTAATCCTCTTTAGTTTTTCATCAACAATGCTTTGTGGATGACGAGAAAAAGGAGGGCAACCCTGCATAATAGTATAGATGCCTCACATAGGTCACCTTTATTTCTAGCCGCTTTAACCTCCAATCAAAAAGCAATGCATTGTTTCCACAGCTGGGTTTATTTCTGGCTACCTGCCTCAGCACTCTCACGTGAAATACACCTTCAGCGCTCATTGCTATCTTGCTCTGCTCATAGGAAGTCAGCCATGCAAGCCGAACCACATCACCAGGTTATATCACACACTTTGATAAGCCCGTAAACATACAGTATAGGCAGCACGCATAATGCACACAGAGCTCGGTGGTGAGGCAAGCTGCTCACCTCGTTCCACACTGAGCCCCTCACAGCCTGTAATAGTAGAGGCTTAGGGTTGGGTGGGGGAAGGGCAGAGGTGCACAGGTTTCTGATCAGACAAGAAAACTAGGCCAAGACCAACAATCCCTCTCCCCGAGCAGCCTCAGCTCCTCCTAAATACTACAACTTTGTTACAGGGCTGGGACAATCACTTGGCGAGATAGTCATTAATGGCGAAGCAAACGGAGTCATTTTGAGCCACAACACGTGTATTTAGAGGCATAACAGCTTCTCATAGCCGGGCTATGATTCATGCTTCCTTGCCCCTTTGGAAGCTGTCCTCCAATAAGAGTTAGAGGCTGGGGGTAGGAGCGGATAGATTGATAGTGTTGGCTGAGTGCCCATGCTCTGAGTCTATCTGTGCTGAAGGGGAGGAGACAGGGGGAATCTATCTGTTGTGCTCTCTGTGCTCATGATAAACTGACTCCCGTCAAGCTTCTTCCCCTTATTACAGCTTGCCTGGCAGAAAACACGCAAACTCGCACCGACTTCCAACAAAAAACAATGAAATGTGGGGAGTGAGTGATTTAAACAGCAAGGGCAACAGTCTGCAAGGTTATGCTATCGTCTTTCAGGGATAGTTTGGAAACAAAAGCCAAGCAGAGCAGTTGTTTTGGAACAAGTGAGTGCAGCGTATCTTCTCGAATTCAAACAAAGTATCTGAACCCAGGATTCAACTTCATCTCTCATGGGACCATGGCCAGCAGTGAAAAGCATTGTCCCTCTCCTCCCTTATCCTGAAACCGTAATTCCCACAGAGCTCCACAGTGAGAACGAAAATGAGTTTGAGGGATTGTCCACGACATTAATCCTCCCAAACACAACCATTCCAGACAGGATCCAATACAGACAGGCAAACACAACGTAAATCAACAATCTATTTACTAAAGGGAAAACTAAATCAACAATCATTTTGACTTGGCTTTGCTTTCATTTGACAATGGCTTTTTTTTCTTCTGGATGCAGCTTCCTCTGTTCTCTCTGCTGATTTGATGGGACCCCTCCCTGCCATCTTGAAATCCCATTACTGTGCAGTTGTATGGATGCCCTGTTCTGCCACCCTCGCTCCAGGTATAGAGAAAGACCAGTTTCCTGTTTACAAAGCCGGGCAGTTAACAGCCCCCAACCATACAATATGGCTAAGGGAAGTAGCAGATAGGAGGCTGTGGTGAGGGTTGCATTTAAGAATTGGAATTTGATAGAGGAACAGAGAGTGGCAGATAGAGAAAGTGCAAAGTGAACAGGAGCTACCTGAGCCAAAAAAAATGTCTTCCCCAATCTGAAAATAATACAGAAGTCATATATATCGAGGGGGAGGTGTGCAAAAAATCACATGATAACAATCAGATCAGAAGCTGAATTGACTTTAAATCAATTGAAGTAGGCATGTCAGGGCTGCCCAGGACAGGGGGGGGGGGGGGGGGGGAGAGAGGGAGTGAAAGGGAGATAGATGTGAGCCCGTGTGTGGGGGAGGGAAGCAGAGATTGTTGGTGTCGTGGGAGCACTGCAACAACAATAACAGCAGTGTGTGTATGCGTGTGTGCGTGTGAGTGACAGAGTGAATGAGTTAGAGTGGAAGTGGGGATGTGTTATGGCTCACAAAAGTGATGAAATGACATCTCCTTTACTCCGGCACACAGCTGCTAGCAGCAGAGAACACACTGTTAAGATTATCTGACCTTCTATTTTCTTTGCTAGCCGCCGGTCAGAAGTGTCTGCCCGCCTGTCATGTTCCCCTCTAATTAGCTTTATCTACACAATGACTACACTGTGTCCATTACAAACACATTCCTGCCCATTGATACTCACATCGTTAATATAACCTGCATGACTTCTTAAGTTCACAGGCGTTTAAAAAAATACATTTGATTTACATTTGTTTTGAAGACTCTTCATTACACATTTATACTCCCCAAAATACTCTCTGCTTTATATCATCAAGTTCTCGTCTCACAAACTAAGCGAACGATTACAGCTTTCAGGTTAAAAATTCAAATCCGATTATGAAAACTTATGGATATGACACATTTTGGGTTGATGCTTCTCTTTTTTGTTGTTTTTCTTTCATCTCTTTTTCTCCTCCCCTCCCCCCTTTCTTTGCAGATTAGAATTCATTAGCAATCAAAGAGCCTCCAGAGAGCTCCAGCTCTTAATTACCTACTCATTTGCATTTTTGCATATTAATGACTGCAGGGTTTTGGTAGGGTTTTTGCCGCAGTGGTTTAAAGGCACCTCAGTCCTCTTGTTCTCTGGGGAGGAGGAGAGATGGCCAGAGGCAAAGCTCCAAGCCTGTCCAATCCCCCCCCATCCCGCCTGATGGGAGCTGGACAGAGCAAGAAGAGAGGGGGTGTTGGCCCGGGGACACATGGGACCGGTGGGGTACGGTGCTGGGGGGGGGGGATTCAGGGGTGCACAGGTTAAAGGTCAATGTCCCTTATCAACATAAGAAAGAACACATGTCTCCAGCGCTGCCTAATTATTGTCATATTGAGCAGTTTAAACACCTGATCTGAAAAAATATATACCCTCAGAGCAACTGGAAATCTATACTGCAGAGATTGCTCACGTGGGTTTTATTGAGGGCGGCAGCTAGTTTGGATGAAACTCATGTCCCACAGTGTGCAGAGGCAGGGGCATTTTATATCCCTGGAGAAAGGTGTGTACCGGTGAAAATGAGGGTAATGTGTGTGTGTGTGTGTGTGTGTGTGTGTGTGTGTGTGTGTGTGTTTCTTGCTTTACATTACAGCCTGTCCCAAAGTGTTCATTGTGAGGGCAGTAAGAGGCTCATTTACTGTGAGCCTTAATGACGCCAGTATGCATGCATATGTGCACAAGCATGTACAATTATAAAACCCCACCTATGCGCAAAAGCATATAGACAAACATGTAAACAGTTGCAGACACACACATACATACACACACGTGCGTGCACATGCACATGATTGAGGGAATCATACCACTAGAGACGGCAGACAACAGCTCCCAGGCATCTCCCAGCCCCTGAAGTGCTGCTGTTCCTCTTATCCAATATGTTTTGACTGAAACAATGATGTCTGAACATGGAAAATAACACCATATCCCACTGTGCTTTTAGATACCTTACAAACACAACAATTAATGACTTGAAGCCTCGAGACATCTGGCCAACCGGTTGAAGATGATTGAATAAAACATGTCATACAATAACATATTTACTCCGTATGGATTTTTATCCTAGAAGATGTTAAAAAGGGCTTTATTAAAAAAGAAAAAAAGAAGTGTTTTTTACACACAAATAAGAGCCACATCTACGAGGAAACATTTCAATGTGGTGACGCTTCACAACATGCAAGACACATACATGTCTCATGGAGCATCCCTGAAAACATACTGCTTACAGAGGGGGCTTAAGTCGACTTAAGTGCTATTAGTGGAGCATTATAAAATGTGTGTGTGTGTTGTGTGTGTCTGTGCAGCCAGGGCCTGAGGACTGCAGCAATGTGTGGGCTGTCGGGGTGGGGTTAATGAGCTGTTCTGTGACCTCTGTCACCCCCCAGGACCGCCTCAGGGAGACAGAGCGAGACAAACAGGAAGACAGGGTGACAATCAGCCCAGGGTCGCAGTCTGCTGCTGGACTTCTGGGACACATCAGATATAAAACTCTATAGGTGGCCTAACATCAATATAAAGATCCTCAAAAAGACTTCTGTTAGTAAATATCCTTTGAAATCTGTTGACTACAATATGTGTTAATGAAAGTCAGGTGAAAAACACAATGTCTGCACTGGATAGGGATGCTTTTTTGCGTGACTTTGATGCATGCTTATGCATCAGATGAAATGAAACTTGATCTGTGCTATCATGGTCAGTAAAGAGGGTGAGTAAGAGAGTCAAAGACATATTGCAAAGAGAGAGGGAAACAGAGCAGTGGTGTGGTGTGGCTGCACTCTGAAGATCACTGCATCCCCAAGACATGATAACAGAGATACTGCTGCCACCTTCTGGTCAGTGTGGAGAACTGCGCTGTCAGAAGATGTTGCATTATGCACAGGGAACACAACAATAACATGATTCAATCCTGCATTCCTGCGATTATATCAAGGAAAACGTGTTTTGTGACATAACGTTGAGAAATGAAAAACAATTGTTAAAAAAAAAGTGTTTCCTGTTATTCTGACCACCCTTGTAACTCTATAAATTAAAATAATATATATATCTAACAGCGTTTCGTTACATGATACACCACTGTGTGCTGACCGTGAATCCCTGATTACAGATAAGACTACTGAACAGAAACCAAAACAAATATCATTGTATTATTATTATTACTAACGTTTGTATTATATTTGATAGGTCAGAATAAGAGACAATCGATCCAGTCAAATGTTTGCAACCATTGTTTTTAATAGAAAGATTTATATTCTTTAAACCAGACAACCAGATGCCAGACATTTTTGGATATATTAAAAAAAAAGAACAGAAGAACAAAACAAAAAAAATGACACAAAATGGAATTATATGGTTTTTAGACTGTGTGGATTTAGTGGTCTCATATACAATACAATATATTTTCATTGCCAAAAAGTGCAAATTCTCCCAAAAAGAAATCACCAATATCCCCCCCGCCCCCCCTCCCCTGCAGCTTCCAACAGATATGGACTGACAGACTGCTACGCTAAGAAAAAAAAAAAAGACCTTTGTGAAGAGAAAGGGGGTTATTTAAAAAGTAAACACCACTGAATCACATGGGGAAGAAAGCGGCCTCTGCACTCTCTGGCCGCGCTCCATTCGATTAGTGATGCCACAAGCAGGTGCTCTGCCTCTGGGACGCACTTGTTGTGATACACAGAGCGGGGTGTGGTCACATGTGCAACATAAAGTTTAAGCACACAGAGAGAAGTGGAGCGGCCGCTTCCTTCCGGGTGGGATTGTGTGCGTTTGTGATTCATGTCCTGCTTTTAGAGGATGGGACACATTCTGCCATTTTCAAATGTACATCAGAAAGAATATCCCTCTGTAAAGGATTATCATGATAATCACAGTTACACATCAACCTTATTATAAATAGTATCTCTCCCAAGTCATACAATTTACCGAATGGATTTATTAAATGTTTATCATGATCAATAATATTCTTCTTACTGAGATCATCTTGATTTGACAAAGGCCAAAAACATTTTCGTACTGATTTGCAAAAGTGCATGATGGTCTTTTGGCCGTTTCATCCGTCTTTCATAATCATTTAAGCGCTATATGGATACCAGATCCAGCCTTTAACTACAGACAGGGCATTATTGCAGATCAAAAGGTTCTGCAGTGGATACACACTGCATGTTTAACATTCAGCACAGCTAGCCTTCTCAGAAAGCTTTGCAACTGTTATACAGGTTTCTTTTCAAGAAAAGGAGTCTCCCAAAATGAGATCAAATGACCTTTCTCCCAACAAGATCTGAGACGGTAAGCAGAGAGCAGGTGAGGGGAGGTCTGTCCAGTACCCCCCCCCCCCCAACCTTGGTGTGACTATGTATGCAATAAGCTGCATATAAACAGGTGTGTTGGTACTTTAACAGAGAAGTGTTGTTTATGTCCAGATGAGGTGGCAGCTTGAAAACCACCTCCAATACCAAATATTCTACTTTTTTTTTCCTCATTTTCATCAAATTGTTTTTCTTTTTTGCATTTAAATAATCATTGCCACTGAGAAAAACAAAAAAAAAGACATCAACAGGTACAACAAAAATAACAATAGTGATAACCATCAAATAAAAGCACACACATTTCAGGATGGCCTTTCGCAAAAGTGCTTTTTGTTACAATCGCAGAAGCTTAAAAAGGCAGTTGGATAGCGGTACACTGGGGGGCCTCTTGACTGTCTGTCTACATGTTGGAGGGAGAGTGACGCTCGACAGGCAGACTGAAACAGCCAACTTAAAAATGTTGACTGTGTTTTCTTGCCGTCTGCAACACACATCCTTCACACCTGCCAAAAACTCCAAAGCTGGAATCACAGTATGAAGCTATGGAATGTATCCTAAATTAGTTTAGGTGACTGAAAACTGAAACTATAGCTCACCCTATCCCCTCTCCCTCCGTTCTCTCCCGTAGACTCCCCTGCTGAGGACGTGTGATCTCTGATCAAAGGCCGGTCGGCAGCAAAGATGTAGACTCTGAGTCCGGAGAGAGGGGGGAGCGAGGGGAGAAGAGAGAAGCAGAACATACTCTCCCCCGTGCTTTCCCAACCCCATCTCTTTTCAGAAATGTTACTGACTTATAAGAGTGAATCTCCAGTGCCTTCCTTCCCTCCAACAAACAATCCACTGGATCAATATTAGATGGAGAAATAGGCTGGTCACAGCCACTTTACAATGGGGGAGCTGTTCCTGCTCTCATCTTTCTGGGAACTATTATGGTAAATATTGGTGAACATGAAAGGCAAACAGAGAAGTAACTTGGAGGGTTGATTAGACATACCATGAACTTAGCAAACATTGAAACCCAATGCATAGCAGTGTATTTTCCACCTGAGTAGTACTTACATAGAGACAAAAGAGATCAGCAGCATTCTGTGAATCTGTGGTGACCTCCTTTGGGTTACAATTCTTATCATATTGTGGCCATGCATTCCTACCAGCTAAGAGGACGATTGCTCAGCAAATAGTCCGTCACCTGGGCTTTCTAACCTCATCCCTGAAAAACAACATCCAGCTTTGCCCTACCACCCGTATTTAATCCTCCTCCCTGTATGCCAACCTTTGTATCCCCCAGAGACCGAGAGAGACTCCAAGTGCAAACTGTCCCCACCCGGCCGAGAGCAGCCAACAGACAGCAGCCTGCCTCTCTGAAGGACCCAGGGCTGTCTGTGTAAGTGCCAGAGCCTCGCTGCGCATAGTGCCGCACTGCATATGCTGCGCTCAGCTCGCTGTGCATCGAGAGCCTGATGGAAAACACACAGAGAAATCAGGTGTGCAGGAAAATGACGAAGCAAAGCAAATAGTCCCTCGTCTGCCGCCACGAATCTTGAATGTTAACAGTCACCCCGCCCTGCTTGGCTTGATTATTTACAGTTATCATAGTTGTTGGTCGTCTTTGTTTTATGGCCTTCTCAGATAGATTCCCCCAAACTCTTTGATAACAGCATAGGACAAACATAACAAGGTCAATTTGGAAAAACACTTGCATTAAAGTTCAGAGAGTGTGTCAGTGGAGCCTGGGTCAGAGTAACCTTAGTGAGGGGCCGAGGCTGGGGGCCCACCAGGAGGATCCATAGAGGCTGACAGAGACTGAGCTCTGAAGAGGTGGATGTTCATATTCATTTATTCAAGTAAAGCTTAAACAGATACATGATCAATTTGAGTTCCAAGCCAATCAGCATTTTGGTTTTAATATGTCGGAAGAAAAGTTTTTTGTTTATGGAAACAAAGAAATGAAATTAAGTTGTGAGTTTTATCGGTTCCTGCCCACGTAAGGCACACTGTGGCCCTTGACGTTTGCAGCGTCCACCTGGTGGGAGTTAGCCTCAGCCCCAAACTGCACAATACAACTGTCTGGAAACATGAAATGAAAAAAAAGAAAAAGCTTAGTGCTGCTCAGACAAGGCCACGGAGTCCCAGTCTGCTTCAACGTTAGAACATTTGAATTCAATTCAACCTTTTTCCAGAAGTAAACTGAACATTTCAGCAAGGATCAAAATAACAGTGTTTAACAATAACAATATATTTCATTATCATTTCATATCATTTCTCATCATTTGACTGAACATGAACTTGATAAAATCCCATCTCTTAAATGAACTTGATTCCATATCTCTGGCACCGGCAAACAGTACGTCTCAGCCTTCAGACCAGGACAAAATAACATATTTTAAATGGATTTCGGAGAGGCTTCGCTACGTTCCAAGTGCCTAAATGTTGTATATTTGGAATATTTCTTAACATAAACAGCAAACATTTGTTGCTGTTATCACACCATAGTGTCCATCAGAAGTTCTCTTTTCAAGAGCCTTCAGATCTAACAATAAAACTCTATAAATCCAACATTAGATAGTAGCTTAAAATGTCCAATGACTTCAACGCAAGCCATTTCTTCTCCTTTGGTATTTGTTGGACGTCTGTATATCTCTTAATATACTGTACATGATTATTTCTATGGAGGGGTTGCATGGACTCCATGAGACCATTGAGTATTAACCACACTGCTCTGTGCTCATGGAAACTCGCAGGCTTTCTGAGGTCTCCTGCCCTTCTCCCATACGCAGGATAAGGACATTAAACATTAGTGCAAACGTTTGCTCTCTCAGCTAAAGCACCATTTCCAGTGCTATCAGGCTTTATATCCATAACCCCACCCAAGCACCCATTTCCCTAACCCTTCTGGCACAGCAACCCAAAACCATGACTCCAACACGCACACGCATACACACACACACACACACGCAGCCATGTAAAATTGATAGAAAAAAAAAGTAGCACAACACGTTATTTTAAGTGTAGACAGACAGAAATAAACTATACATATTTAAACCTCTGATTCTACTGTCCACAAGGACACAAAGAGCGAGAGAAAGCTAACAAGTCAATATCTGTATGATTTCACACACACTTCTGCATATGTATTCAAGAGGAGGGCTTCTGTGTGTGACTTAGTCAGGGAGGCTGGATACATTAGACTTATCTCTAGTCTACAGTAGGGCTGCTCAATTCATCCTATTTAAATCGCAATTACGATTTTGGCTTGCAACGATTATGAAAACAACATAATCGAATTATAATTTTTTTTATTGGTTTTTCAGTTGAATTATACTTAAAGTTCAGGGTAATCAACTGTTAAAAACATACTGTTACATTTTCTTTTAAATAAATGGATGTTTTCAAAGTAAATGGATAATCGTTTTTTAATAATCGTGATATCAATTATTGACCCAAATAATCAAGTTTATGATTTTTGCCATAATCGAGCAGCCCCTAGTCTACAGTGGACTAAGATTGAGGGCTTTGGTTAATTAACAAAACACATAAGACTTTTTAAGTACAAAGAAACCAATGTTTAAGATTTCACTCTCTGCCACATCAAGACAAAGTTGGTTTAAGCGGTCCATACCAAGTATTACATAAATATCACATAGCTTGCATTGTCTGCCTATAGGAGTCAAACTGTGCGTTAATGAACCCCTTCTCAATCATAACGGAGAACCAAAAATAGAAACTAAGACTCTCAAGGCCTGGCCAACCACTGACGAGGACCAACAAGGGTAAACAAAGAGTTTTGCAAATCTGCACCAAGAGAGCCGTGATGTAAACAAGCAATTGTCCATTGAGTTGTTTTTACAGTATGGTCGTTTTGCTTCTGTGGAACCGTGCACCTATTATCACCGTGCACCTATTATCACTGCGGTTCCTCGGAGAACACGTGTAGTTATGAGAGGAGCTGTTGAACAGATGGGGCAGACGCAACGTTTGTTTATCCAAGCTTGTCCCGAGACCCTCCTGCCTGCCAGCCAGCAGCACATGCACACAACTAAAATGCATGCCAACACACACACAGTGCTTTTTCTTCTTCTCCTTCTCGCCCCTTCCTTTCCTAAGACATAAAGACAACTTACTAGATTTCAACAACTAACTTCAAGTGCTATCAGTTACGTGGATTAGTTTAGTCTTTTCTCAAGGTCACAAAACCCAACATGTGTGAATCAGAACAACTCTTTGAGAGCTCTGATCTCTGTTTTAAATTTAGTTTGGCAGCTTGTCGTCAAAACCTGATCCAAACCAGTGAAGGAGCTCAACTTCACCACGGCAGACAGAAGAAAGGACTTATCTCATTTGCAACTGCTTTGTTTCAAAGTACCCGTTTGGTTGAAATAGTGCCCCCCTCAGTAACAAAGTGCATTCATAACCTGCGTCTTTCCAATTAAGGTGCAAAGGGACCGATTTCTACTGCAGAAATGACAGGGCGGTGATTGGGAGAGGGGGGGGGGGGGGGGGCGTTAGGACAAAAATAACATTGGATTCCGAATACAAAAACACAACTTAAGATATTTTAAGACTAACAAATCCAGATGTATGGAGTCACTTACAATATTCAAACAGATATGTCAGCTCTGGTGTTTTCCCCTTCTCCACGGGATACCTGGACCAAGTGAGCTGAGTATCCGAGTGTGTGTGTGTGTGTGTGTGTGAACATGTGTGTGAGACAGAGAAAGTGCATTGGGGCTGGCAGCTCAGGGTGCATGTTTGAACAGGCCGTGGCTGACTCACACAGTGATGATGTGGCCACAGCGACCCCGGCTGCCACGCACACACACATGTACACAAACACACAGACATACAAACACACACTCCCACACTAAACACAGCACCAGGCGTCCGCCCCACAGTAACACCAGGCTCTAATATCATAATATCCCCTCCAGGCTAGTTCGGGGGCATTAGAGGACTACAGAGGGAGAGAGAGAGGGAGAGAAAAGGCTTGATTTGATCCCCTCCCGCCTGGAAACGTGGCTGAGCTGGGGGAGATTATTTTTTGGAATGCAACAGACATTGTGAGATCCCCCTCCCCTTCCCTTGCTCCCCTCCCCCATCATCCAGCGTGCAGCTGTGCTCCTATTTGGCCTCCCAACTTGGACAGGTATTTATTGCTCTCTTCATCATACAGGTTGCCTCACGGTTGTGTGGTCCCTAGGGCACATAGGATTGGAATAAGCATGATACATATACCTCCTCTCACACACCAGCCCTCTTCCTTTAAATATACCTCTCTCTCGCTCGGTTGGATATCTTTAGTAAAGCTGTGCAAACATAGAAAAAAAGGTGCTCATCTATCTCTTCTTCGTACTCTTTGTCATTCTCTCGCTCGGGCTCCCTGCCATTCCTTTAACCTGCGGTTGGTTAAATGCTACCCGCGCCTTGTCACACAAGGACACAATCCGAAAAACTGCACACAGTTAAGCATTTCATTCATTCATCCGACCTCCTCGTCCTTTGGGCAGGAACTATACAAGTCAAGTGTTTTAAGTTTAGGACAAATGGGTGGTTCAATGGTTTTTCTCATCAGACATTCAAACAGGTTGGTTTTTTTTCGTTCACCCACAAGCTTCACTCCGTGAGAAATATGACATCAAGCCTAAGAGGAAAAACCCGATTGTTAAGTACACCTCAGCATTAAGAGGGGACTAATGTCATATCACCACCTGCTGTATATACATGTATACAATTATAAAGTGTCAAGTACCCAAAGCAGTCAACAGAAAGGAACAACGACCCAAACTAAATTAAGACAAAATCAAAAGGGAAAACAGAAATGCTGAAATTGCAGGTTTGTGAGGCAACGTAGTCAACCCGACAGATACATAGACTATGGTAGTGCTTTAAAAACACAAACCCTCCACACCTCATTTCCCCCCTAGTCCTGCAATTGAAGAGCCCCCGTTAAAGTGGATTTGACTCAATATGAATTTGTTTTTCAAAATAACAAAACATAGATTCTTAAAACGCATTTTATAGAGTAAGTAACACTTCAATCAAACCCCTTGTCTGATTCTTTCTGGAACATTTAAAGAGAGAAAACTGTTGCATCAAAATTGTGGTGAGCTTTCCTTGCATATGCCATTTTGTGGCAATGTTGTTTCTATGGTAACTGTACATTTCACACCTGCAAAAGAATAGAAAAAGAGTTGTTTTCACTGGGAGGATTTGTCCTCGCTTCACCCGTACAGCAGCCAGAAGGAGCTTGATAGACACCTTGCTTAGAGCTTGAAGGCTGTGAGGACAAACCCAATACAAATTGAAATCAACTGCATAGTTGCTCAGAGTTTCTTTGTAGCTATCATACATTTGCCTAAGCACATATGCCAATGTACAAAAACCTTAATATTAGAAAGAATGAAATGGCCCAGAAAGTGGACGTGATGGGTGCATGAATTGAAGCGTTCTTTGCTCTTTAACAGATAAACCGACTCAAGTGCTTGCAAGTCTATTCCATTTCCTAAAGTGAAAGGAGAAAGAAATATAAAGATTAGAATTTTTGTGACACCCTGATTTGGTTTATAGAGGAATAGTTAGTTGTTGTTTTTTTTTTTAAAGTTTGCCGTTGCATGTTTTTTTACTCCTCTCTGTTCACTGGCCTGTCTCACAGGCGGTGCAGAGTGACGGTGTCCAGCAGTGTCCTTGTGGCCCCTGCAGTCTCAGGGTCCGGCCTCCTCTGCCTCCTCCTGCAGTTGAGGACTGTGTGCGTGGGCTTCGGCAGCCCCCTCCATCTCTGCCGCTGACGATGCCTCCGAGCTCCGCCGTCCCCTGATGGTGTGCGGCCCGGGGCTCGTGTCGGACCCGGGGCTGGGCAGGCTCAGGGGGGCGTCGAGGAGCCCGGGGTCTCTCACCCGAGGCTTCCGACCTCGACGAGAGGGGATGCCGTTGCAGCCGTCCTTCTTGAGGTGGCGGTGCAGGTGATCCGAGCGGACGAAAGTCTTAAAGCAGCTGGAGCACTGATAGGGGCGCAGGCCGGTGTGCACGCGCATGTGGTTCTTCAGGTCGTAGTTGTGAGCAAAGGCGGCTCCACATTGCGTACACAGGTAAGGCTTCTCTCCTGTGTGCTTCCTCATATGAACCTTGAGCTTGTCCTGCCTGGGAAAATTATAAACAAAATCCCATCAGAATACAAATACAACTAATTACAATGCAGTAGAGGATCAGCTCAAACTCAGTGCTGAATCTAAAACACTCAGTTACTTATCAGGATACGTCATTTCTTATCAAATACATAATTAACTCAAAAATTATTATTCATTGTCAAATCCACATACTGTTGTGAACTTAATATGCTTTGGATAGTTTTATTTCCTATTAAACAGCCATCTTTTGGATGTCTTCCAATGTGGATTATTCTGTGAGGGCAGCCAGGCGAACTGAGGAGAAGCCATAAACGTTACATCTTTATCTGAGTAATTGCACACAAGAGCCAACTGTGGACTGACGAGAAAGCTCAACGTTCACTGTGTCAGTTTGCATTTTTAAAAATGTCTGTTAACTTCTCTTTAAGGATGACACCATATCAATTGACAGATAACAAAACAAAATAGTTTTGTGAATATAAAATAAGGATTTCAGTGTGCCCCACAGAAGAACAATTCCAAGATCATTTGGAAAACTTGTCATTTATCTTGGAGGAGTGCTGAAATATAGATGAGTCTGTGAAATATCATCAATTTCTCAGCCTAGTTCTTTCCCCACAAGCTTTCATTTGACTGCATTTTGTATTAGAGCAGTTGTCACTTCTCAGTCCAAGACTTACTTTATCCATCACTAGTCAAAACAAAGCAAACTTTTGACTTGACTTTGTAACTGTAAATTGATATCATTACACCTTGGAACATGTTTTACTTTGTGATGGTACACTGCAGCCCACTATTATCAGGCTGCCTTGGCCTTGATGTGACTCTTGTCCCCCCCTCCCCCCTTTAGCCCCTACTATCTCTGCAGCGCCCGAGCTCTTTAATCGTCTAACCCTTCTGCACTGAGGGCAGAGGGCTCCTAAACAAACAAGCGTAGTTAAGACAACTCCACACACACACACACACACACACACACACACACACACACACACACACACACACACACACACACACACACACACACACCACAACACCACACACCACACACACACCACACACACACACACACACACACACACACACACACACACACACACACACACACACACACACACACCACACACACACCACACACCACACACACACACACACACACACACACACACACACACACACACACACACACACACACACACACACACACACACACACACACACACACACACACACACACACACACACACACACACACACACACACACACACACACACGTAAGTGGATTAGCTGTCATTCAAACAAACAAACCCACTGCGACTCTTACGGGTCTATACAAATGGTGCCCCAAATCTAAAAAAGAAAAAAGCAATATGTACAGTACAGGCGGAACACACACATGAATACACACAGGCCAAAGCCTTGGAAAAAAAGCGGCACGCTGACAGAGGTGAATTATTTAAAGGACAGGAGTGATTTATTACCGTGCGAGGCACACTCTTAACCCTGATCAAACAGGATTAAGATTACAATACCCCGTCCCACTGCAGGTCGAATTTAGCTAGAAGGCAAATTCAGATTGGTCTTCTCTACCTGCCATGCCAGCAGAGGTTCTGGGTATTTCTAGCCAACTGCATCTATTTCAAGCACAAGTCCACTGATTAATTAATTAAAGGAATGATTTCAAGGAAAAAGGTCGGACTTCTGAATACAGGGAAACCAAGTGCACTGAATGCCCCTGCTGTAGACTAGCCCCATCTTTCTGAGCGGCACATGGCAGATTTCATTAGAGGGGTAGAAGAGAGAGGAGGGGTGTGGTGTATCTACTCTGCCGTGGGCGATAATCAACATAACCAAAGATCAAAAGTTCAAATTATTGCATTGGAACACCAAGAGCACCATCCAGCGCCTGTAACCCCCCCCCTCTGTATCAGAACACAGCACTTTATAGCAGCCCTTCACTAGATAACACTACCATGGCTCACCCTTCTTTTATAGGACCCCTACGTTTAATGTTCCAGGACTTTGCCATGAACGCTGTCACAATAAAACAGACTTGTATAACCATATGACCCTCTCTCAGAGCTGGAATATTCTACGTGTCATTTTGCTTAGCATTTGGCTACAATGTGAGATTGCAAAAAACCTGTTTAAGGACACTCAGTCAGTCCATGGACCAAGGTAAACACTTGGATTCTCACTGCCTCCTCTCCTTAATGCAAAGCTAAGTTGGTTAGCACTAATACCCCTGTCCTGGTGGTGTTTCCCACTGCTGGGCGATTTGTCTACAGTGCCAAGTCCCAGACTTTTAGTACATGTGACACGGGGTAGTCGCTTCATTAAATTGGGCTTACCTGGTAAAGCGCACTTTGCAGATGGCGCATTCATAAGGTTTCTCTCCCGTGTGTGTTCGGATGTGGCGGGGTAGCTTGCCTGCTCCTTGAATGACCTTGGAGCATATGGGACATTTCTGGAAGGCCTTAGAGCGCATCTTCCTCTCGCCTCCTCCTCCGCCTGCGCCCCCGCTGTCTCTCTCTCCCACCCCCCTCTCTCCTCCTCCTGCTCTGTCTTGGCCTGTTCTGCCCCGTGATAACCAGAGCGGCGGCACTCCCTGTGATACAGCAGCAGAAACTGGATCCTCGTGCTGCGTGCTGTTAAAATAATTCAAGTAAAATTCCATGTCTGGGTCGTCCCCATCTCCCTGTTCCTCCCCCGTAGTTGCGCGATCCTTCTGCCTCTCGATGGAGTCCATCATCTGCTGCAGGAGGGCACTTGCAGACCCCCTGTCCCTCGCCAACGCGTCCCTGCTCCCATCCTCCATCTCTGGCTCCTGCCCCAGCCTAGACTCAGGGGGGAGGTGAACGTGGCCGTTTTGGGATGGAGGGTAGTAAGCTGACCCCAGGCCTGCTCCGTTCCCCTGCACCGCCTCCCCGTCCTCATCTTCCTCGTCTTCCTCGTCGTCTTCTTCGTCTTGCTCCTGTGTGGGGGCCTGGGCCAAGGCGAGGGCCAGGGGGGAGTAGTACTTGCCGGGGTCAGCAGGAGCCCCGTTGCTGGGGGTCCCTCCGTTACCGTGGTTAAAGTGCAGATGTGTGGGCAGGTCCCTGAGCTCTGGCGTGCTGCAGCTGCTGCTCCAGTGGGCCCCTCTCAGGTAAAACTCCAGGAACTCCTGGGCCTGAACCCGGTTCCCCTGCTCCCTGCTTCCTCTGCCCTTCCCCTTCCCCTTCCCCTCCTCCTCTTCATCTTCATCTCTTCGCTCACTGCCCGCCTAGTAAAATATGACAGGGAACATAGAGAGTGAGTACAGGTCAAATATAAAGTCAGAAAAGTTCAAAGAAAAAAAAGAAAGGGGCATACAAAAGTACAATACTTATTTAGAAAATAAATAACTACAAAATAAAAACAAGGGCACACGGCTGCTGCTTAAGGGTGGTGAATGTTTGTAGACCAACTGAATGACGAGCTATAGAGCTTCTGGTCGCTAAGGTGAAGGCTGACAACAAAAACCCTAAATCTACAACAGTAAATCTCATAAAAGGCAGATTCCTATCCGTGTATAGTGGATGCACAATCAGTGGTTTCTTTGACCCATGAGCACATGCATGTGCATTTCACAGCTACACTTGATAATGTTGAAGTGGAGCTGCGATATGCTGTGTCTGTAGTTAGGCACAATAGCACGCTCTCCTTCCATTCACACTATTGTTTTAGAATGAGAAAGTGCTGATCCCAAAGGCTGTGGGCGTGTGTTTGGCATGGTGGGAGAGACTGATAAAGGCCATGATGTAAGCTTGACTATGCTGACTATTTAATGAAGGTGGTGGTATGATGACCAGACACCTCATTCCCTAAGCGGCTGAAGCAAGAGAACTTAATGTTGAATGACAACACATCTGTGCTTTCAATTCATTTCAACCAAAAGCTTAAATTTGACTTTAACACATGTCACTTATTGTTCTAAAAGGTCTTGTACCGGCGGGGAGAGCACTTTGGAGTCCAGCAGGTGTGTACAGACGTCCTGGACCGGTGGGATTTCCAGGAGGCGTGCAGCAGCAAGGATGTCAGCAACACTGCTGTGACTGACTGTCAATGTCGCTGTGTAGGCAAAGTCCAGCAGCGCCCCCAGAGCCTCCGCCACCACAAAGTCGATGTTGTAGACGTTCTGTTGGTCAGCGGCGGCTCCTGAAGTGAAGAGCTTGTGGAAGTAGGAGCTGCAGGACGCCAGGACGGAGCGGTGAGCCGGGAACTCCAGTTCCTGGGAAACTAGGAGCACATCGCACAGCAGGCCGCTAAGCCGCTGCTTGTTCAGGCTGCCCAGGATGTCTGCGCTGTGCTCGGGGAAAGGGATCCCCACGGGGCCTTCCTCTGCCTCTCCTGCACCTCCTCTCCCTCCTCCACCAGCGCTGCTTGCTGTCCCTCTGAGCCGCCGTCCACCCCTCCCACCGGCTCCTGACGACATCTTCCACCAGCCTGCCGCCGAGCCGCCTAGCACAGCCCCCACCCGTGTATCCGTCCTGCCGTCTGTCCGTCTGCCTGTCTGCGGAGAGAAGAGTTGGATAGAGGGAGGGGATGGAGGGAGGAAGACACAGAGGAAATAATAAATCAGTTTATGACATTCTTCATAAAGAAAGAGAGAGAAGTATTGATTCATTGATTAACCGCAGTCAGAAATACACACAGGAATGCTCCAGAACCAGTACGCACAACACTTTGATAGAGGAAACCTGAAGTGAAGATTTTACTTCAATTGTGACGTTTAATTTAGTTCATTTAAACTATGAAACAAGCAATCATAACAGTATTCATACCTCACTGATCATCGTAAAAAAACACTTCATTCCTACTCTACAGTATTTCCACAATCAACAACTCTGGCTGCTCTCTGGAGCAACAGTCCCTTTGAAAACAAGCAGTCTCATTATGATTAGTATGAACTAATCAGAGCAGGATTATCCTGGGTGTAATACCCCCACCTCATAAGTAATATTCTATAGATCTAAAAAGGGGCCTGTCCCTTAACATACACAAAGATGAGGAACCTAATGAGGTGACGATACAAAAGGAGTCCTACAGTAAGAAACAACAGTACACAAAGGTAGGTATACATTGTCTTGCATACACACGACATCTTTCACTAAAGATTAGTGCACAGTCCATAACGTACAGACAAAATACACATACACAGACTTTGAAGAAGCTTAGCTAAATCAACAAAGTCGGGTCATATGTGGTTGTGTGCCAATTAGTATTTTTACAAGCTCTAAAACAGGTTTGGTAATGAGCATGCTGATGGATGTCATGTCAAAAGAAAATGCCACTTCCTTTTTGGAAGAGACCACAAAAGATTAAAAATGTCTTTAAAATCAAGGCAACAACTGGCAAACACAAATACTGCAATAGATGACACACTGCTATAACCTGAAAGTGTAGCATACCAGTATACATATAGGTGGTTGATGGATAATTAGTCTGCAACCTAATATGACCCATTTACATTTTGTAGAGTGCTTTACTTTTCTCTATCCTATATGGCATGCTCATGACATTCATCCAAGTAAACTGTGTACTGACTTTGTTACTAAACACATTTAAATGATTGCCCCAAACATGTTATGTTTATTCATAAGTGTCTTGCCAATAGTGAAACTTCTTCATCGACACGTTGACAATTAAGCTTTCAAAAAGTATTTTTTCCTGACCTGAAACTGAACTTCACAGTGAGAGGTTGCCAGATATGTTGAACACTGTACTTAATCTTTTTTTGGAAGGAATATCTCACGCAATATAGTAGCAAAAAACTGTAATTTCAAACATTGCACTCACTTGACTCAAGAGTTTGGAGCAAGTGTCCCAAATAACTGGATCGAAGCCATACAGCAACACCACAGTGCCACACATTACAAATGCTTGGAACTGGTTTTAAAGCAAATGTAATAGTACAACAGGTGTTTCCAGGTTCAACACGTTTGTGACAATATGTAAAAAATGTGTTTCTGGTGGCACTGAATAAATAGTAGCTTACAATAACTTTGAATGCATCTGACCAGGAGTGTTGCTTGCTAAAGAAACATGCCTGTGGTTGTATTGCCACTCAATAAGGAACTAACACTCAGTTAGGAACTAACTGATTGACCCGTAAGTATTTAGGGTTGCAACAAGATCTTGAATTATCTAAAAGATAATGACAGGTGTTTCCATGCTCCCTTTTCTATATGCTTTAGCATAGGGTAGAAACATTAGACCATCCTATACCAAAAAAAAAGAAAGGAAATGTCTTCCCGAAATTCCTTGCAGCAGCAAACTCTAACGCGACGCACAATTTGGCCGCACAAGACATCTGCTTTTGCTGTTTTATTGAACACTATGTATATTTGAAAAATATCCTTTCTTGGAATTGTGATTCTGTTTTGGACTTAACTTGTACTATACTGAGTTTATCACTGTACTCATTTCCTATGCATTATATATATAGTCCTCACATTTGTATAAATTCCCCTTCATGTCTTTCCTTAACATTATCACATCTCCATCAAGATAAAAATGTCTATGACTAGACTACAGCCTAGTGGGGTGAATGAATGACTAGGTGGATATGTTTATGTACTATTTATATGCGTGTCCTTGTTTACACCCTTAATCTACGAGTGTGTGTGCAAGAAACCAAGTAAGAGGTTGTGGAGGACAGACAGGCAGAGGACAGTGGGGATCAGAGTGCATGCTGGGAGATGGACTGTGCAGCTTGTTCATTCTGTGTCAGTCGAGAGCTGGGGAGGTTAGCGAGGGAGGTGGAGGAAAAGAGAGGAGGGAGGGGGGGGGGGTGCTGCCAAAGCATACCCTGTGGAAAAACTCCACAAGAGGAGGAAGAGGACACGCAACAAGCTGCGAGGCAACCGTATTAAATAGGGAGGTTGTCAATCCGGTCTGAGCTGGTTACCCCACCCTGTACCTTGTGCCAAGTTTCAGGAAAGGCTGTCCCCTCGCTCACGTGTGGGGGGAGATTAAAATGATCGACTGAGGCCTGCGCAGTGGGAGTGGGGTTTCAGCCAAACAAGCCATCCTTGATTTCTCTATTAACACAGTCACACATGCAAATACTGGAACATCAGGGAGACATCAATAACGCACAAAACACACACGCACATAAATGGACATATAGGACATCCACCCCAGCTAACCCCCCTCCCCACCACCACCACCCTCTCCATCTGCCAGGGAGACCCAGCAGGGGGTGAGACCGTGTGGGGGTGGGGGGGGTGGGGGGGGGCTGACGAGTGTGTTGCTCTCTGTATAAGCAAACCATTCAAATGACATTCCTTCAGATCAGCCCTCCTGGTATGTTTGTACGTTACACCCCACTACCAAACCTGCCTAACCTGGATGACTCTCCCCTCTCCCATATTTGTTCACCTGTGTTCACCTGTTCTTTCCTCCCCAACGTTTTGTTCGATTCCTCCACACCTTGAGATCTGGAAATGTCAGCTATGTCTGAGAGTTACGGGAAGCCAGAGGCGGAAGATGTTTCCTCAAACTTATTATGATCCTCTAAATAGGTCAATGATTTCATTTCAGCAAACATAAGGATACAAATAAAGTTTGTATATTTAAAATATTGAGTATTGCTTGTTTGATTAGTGTTGAATTGTTACTGTATATCTGCCTTAACTAAAATAAGTTTTTGATACGCAGTTCACCACCAGTCATCTGCAAACACTGCCGATGTCTTCCTCAAAGCGCAGATGAAAACGGAATGTCAGACATGGCATGAGCACATTTTATTATCCAAGCGCTCATCTGAATATACAGAGAGGAGGGAGGCGAGGGCGAAGACAAAGAGAGATGGCACAGGAGGGAGAGAGGAAGAGAGAGCAGAGTGAGATGGAGCTGGAAGAAAGAGCAAGACAAAAGGGCAATCGCAAGGCTACTGGTCACGTCCTTCAGAGGAAATAGATCTCTGTGAGCCCATCCAGACCCGAGCTACCGCTTTCCTCCAACACACACACAGCACCTGCACTAGACCAGGCTTTGCTGCAAGCGTGTGTAGCGAGTTATCCCCGTACATATAGCTGACCCTGTGTCACGGCTTTGTGGGGTAAAGACGCTGAGCTGAGAGGAGATAAAACACACACACAAACAAACCCACACACACACACACGCACAAATTCAGGGAGGGACTACTCTGCATGCAGGAGCTACCTGTCCCCGAATAACCCCGCAAAGAGAACTAAGAAAGAGGAAACAGAGGAACAAACCTGATCCTGACACCTCCTCATGGCTTGAAACATTCCTTATCATTAATTCATGCCTGTGGGTGACAAGGCCCGCAACCCAGCACAAAGCAGCACCGCAGCTGTCCGTGTACCTGGTGTTCCACTTCCAGGGAAAGGGCTTCTCTCAATGCCCAGTCAGAGAGCACCCAGGCCTGCTTTGCAAGTCAAACAACTGCTTTAACAGAGGATCAACCCATCCCTTCGCTGCTTCTCCAACTCCATGTCATCCGTAACGCCCCTATACCCCTTCTCGTGTATCTACACAAAGCAAGGACAGATATCAAAATTACACTTCAGGAACGAAACTACCCACACCGGTCTCCTGTAAAGCAGTTTCCTTTTAGCTGTTGCTTCAAATGACTGTGCTGTGTGTGTTCTTACTAGCCATGCCAAGGCTCACACCCACTTTGCTTGTCATTCCCTGACAAACTCGTGTCTGCAGTAGTTGAAAGTGTTTTAATCATGACCAATATGTATGATCTAAGGATTGCAGAATCTCTACTCTCAAAGTATCTCTGTCTTTGGCTGACACATACCAGTCATTCCTGAATACAAAGGAACAAACTGTTAACCCTGTGCAACCTCAGATGTTTCTAAGATAGACAACAAAGTAAAAACCTAAGCCTGATGGCTTTTTAAAAAAACATTTAAGGTTTTATCGACCTCATGAAAAGCAAAGAGCACACATAGTTACAACCAGACTACTAACCAATAAACAATTATTTCAATTGGTACTGAACTTAATGTTTGCATTTTTGAGAACATATTGGGTTAACTTGAGTATATGTTTAAGCAAATGTTCTCCTTTTATTCAGATCTTTCAGTTTCAAAAACTCTGGCATGCAAACAGGGATTGGCTGATAAAAAATAATGCACAGTTCAAAACTACTGAGCAATCAAACTTCAAGCAAGAGCAATCAGAGCAAACATAACTGAATCATTGATCCCATAAATGTTAATGGAGTACAGGTTGTACTACCTTTAGCACTTAAAAACGGAGCAGTTGTTCACCTTGGGAGGTTACTAGCTTTTATAAGAGAATCCTTTTTAGGCTACTCCACATTTTACTCAGCAGGTGAGGACTTATTAAGAGCAGCAAGTGCAAAATACATAACTGAAAACATCTGAAAAATCTGGATATTAAACAAGTTGAAGAATTTAGTTGGCCCTTTGACTATGCCTCCATGAACGTTTCTTTATCGTTTGACTTTCTTGCCATGTCCTCATTTGACCAACTTTCTCAGCTCTATGGCAACAAACCTGCCTAGCCCGTCCTGCTGCAAGGGATTCACTTCAGTCAGATCAAGTGGGTTCAAGGTCGGACCAAGATAATACAAGATAATCGGAGTGGGGAGGGGGTGGCAGTTACTTGGAAGAGTGGATTTTGAGCAAGTGCCACAGCCAAGTGACTCACTACTGCCGGTAGTGAGAGGAAACCTGATTGGTCCTTTTGGGAGTGAAGCAGGAAGAGGGCAAGTGACTGATAAAACTGCATAGGCTGGTCTCGGCCTGACAGCTTTTACTAGAAACTAACAAGGAAGCAAAGCCAATACAGAGACACAAAGCAGGTGAAAAGGTAGTGGGCGAGGCAGGGCGTTAAACTCTAAAGCTTAATCATAACTCCTGAGCGTATGGTGGCCTAGGAATCCGGCTCAGATGTCAATGATAAACCCAGAGAGATCTAATTTAGTTACCTGGTGTAACCTGCTTCAATAAGCGGGAAGGTAACCACCCACAATTCGGGCAAAGTTTAATGTGAGGAAGCAAGCAGGGGTTTTACGATGTTATAAAGGTCTATGTTTGCCATGCCAGATAGCAAGGGACCTTGAAAAGTGAAAAGTGTATGTGACTGAAAATGAAACTTTCACGCTGTCGTAAATGTGTCTATTTTGTATTTTCTTTTTTGTTTGTATCAGTTAGATCAACTGTATAGCCACAGGCTAGAACATAAAAGACTGTTGATTAAGTACAACAGGGTGAATTTATACATTAGACTTAACATTTCAAAATAGTATTTGACACAATAGAGAAATTAGATGATGATTAAACTCTTTTAATTTAGATATGTAGTTTGTAGCGTTGAATTTCAGTATACTGTAAATATCTAATATTTTCTTCTCCATATGACAAACAATATTAGAAACATAATATTCCTATATGATATTATTATTAATGTAATGCAGCCACTCCACTAAAATGTACGGCATAAACAATTACAGTACCGTTGAGAAAACATAAATTAACTAGTAGTATTATCAGCAAAAATAAATCATTTTAAGTACAGTATTCCATAAATTGACTTTTTGGGGGGTTTACTGCATACAAAGAAATACAACTGTGTTTCGACATAACCAAGTCATTCAATCAAACCTTGCATCACTTTTGCTTTTGATAAGTAAAGATTATTATATCAATACAAATAAAACTATACTGCTTTAACTACACTTTTTAGTTTAATGCCTGTAAAATATTGTCTTTTGGACGATGTTTCATTCGTTATGATTCCTATAACTCATGTCTTGGGACAGTAGGCTTTCACAAGCTGCAGTGTAAGAAAACCACATCCATGGTCTGAGTTCCTTTTAGCTTGGGTAACATGCTCTGACACTGCCATGCTGCCAACCAGGAAGTGGAACAAAATCTAACACATGGCTTCAGACGGTGCTAACACAGAACTCCAGCGGACCCAGGATGCCCAGGATGCACCACTTTGTGCATGTGCAGCCCAACTGGGAAAGGAGGACTTCCTGTGAGTCTGTGACAGGCGTGTAACAGAACCCGCTCTGTTATCAGATGACCAGCTCTCTGCTTGCTCGCTCTCTCTGTCCCTACTGTCTGACCCCCCCTCTCTCTCTTCCTCTCATCTGTCGCTCTCATCTCATCATTGCTCCATCTCTGTCTCCGACTCTGCACTGCACAGTACCCACCACATCGCCCACTTCCCCTTTCCTTTGCTGAGAAGGCAAAACATCTTAGACCCACCCTCCTGTGCCTCGCTCACGGTCCATCCAATGAAACCCACCCATCTATTCTCCTGTTTCATCCCAAACCAATTCACTAAATCAACATGCAGACAGTGTCCAATTGGTCACATATCGGCTTCCTGATCAGCTATCCTTTCGGCTTGATTAAAACAGGATCTGGTACATCTGCACTACAGTGTTTAATGTCAATATAACAATCAATTACACTTACTATACATACTCGTGTTTTGAAAGTATACTCAAAATGAAAAAACCTTCAATGAACATATCAACAAAAGAACTGATCTAATTCTAAATGTGTAAAAACGTAAGTCTAGCTTCATCCCCACCCTGAACAACATGCCTCTTCCTCTCCCACTAATTTGATCAGGTTGTGTTGGCCTCTCCATAATAAATGTCCCAGAAGAGAACAGAAGAAGCCCCTTTACTCCCCCTAGACTTCGACACAACAACAGAAAAACAACAGAGAGGGGTCTGTCTGTCTGCCTCGCCGGGCTAGAAGCTGTGGTATACTGAGCAGCTGACCAGGGGAACTAAACATTAGGGGGAAGTGAAGCTGCATTCACCAAGGGAGAGGCAGATGAACGTTTTCAAACTGTTTTAACTTCAATGAGTATTGATAGAACAGCAGCCAACAGCAGCCAGTGACATGTTGTTTGGAATGAAGTTCAAAACAACTCAAGTTTTAATTCCATCATATGGGCCACAATACATCATTTTACCACATGAATAACTTTGAACAAATGTCATTACCGTTACATGTATTGCATTGTATACAGCCAACATTTCACTCTAGAATAAAGCCCCAAACTGCCACGGCGACATCATGCAACCTGTCTTCTCAGTCTGTCTGAACCTGCTCGTTTCAGGCCATAGTGGTGTAGGCACAAACATACAGGAATATCAAACTGTATTCAGCCTCACCGCCAAATTGATGGGTGGTGTCTTGGACCTGCCCACAGCCACTGAAGTCCCCTGCAATTCCCCTGGAGTCTATTGTTGGTAACACAGACGCACACGCATGCGTGCAATGCATGCACATTAGCACACACTCACACACACACACACAAAAACATATGGCGTCCTAGTTTAACCTCTTGCTGGAATTTACTTGAATGAACTATAGTTTTCTTCCATAGTAGTACCTAGGAAGTGGTTTAGAGAGTAGCATCAGGAAAACATTTACTGTAATTAATATAATCTGTGACATTGAAATGAATAAAAAATGCTATCAACCTTGCCTGCTGCCTGCTTCTTAGAAGCATTCCAAACACTTTCCCAGCACTTGGGCGTCTTCATGTACCGTGCTCTTCTTGTACCCTCTCCGCGCCCACACGTTTAAAAAACGGGTTCAACAAGTATGCAAAGCCAAAAAAGATGCATCTGGTTATTGAGCAAAGACAGTCAGGGTTACTGTGAAGTCTTTAAACCACGAGCCACAAGATAGCAGGACACGACAGGCGAGATTAGAATCAACAAGATGTTGGCAAGGAGGGGGGGGGGGAGTAGACTGGGAAAAAAGATGTCATGAGATTGACCATGGTGAAAATGGCTGGGAAAAATTGAAATCAATCATCAAGTTGTCCAGCATAGATCCCAAAGTTACTTAAGCTTAAGTTTTGAATTATAATGCTGCATAGATTTGGCATGAGTGAGTTTAGTGAAAGTGAAATTCAGTTGTTGCAAGATGTGGTGCATGTTCACTTACTGTGGTTTCTCAAAAAACGATTACTCAACACCAACCTGTACTATGTCAGTAATAAACACGGTCGCTCTGCCACATTAGCAAACATCTGATGCAGTGTTTTGGGGTGAAATTACTCTACCACCACAAAAACAGCGATACAGGATGCGTAACTGTCAATGAGCATCTTTTTAAAGATAGAAGCACTAGTGCCATTTAATCACAACAGTAGATAAAAACATTTAAGAATATTCTGCCATAACAGGATGGAAACAACACTTATAGGCACAATGAATACCCCTAGTTAGGAAGTTATTCTGATGTGGATGAAAACTTTATGACAAAAACTATTTCTATGAGCAGTATTCTGTGTCGCACCTTACACTCACCACTGACCTATTTGCCGATCCCTCCTTTATCTGCAAGTGGGTCAAGAACTCTGAACTCTATCAAGCCCCATCTCTCTCACTCTCTTTCACACACAACACGCTATGGTATTTATTTCCTCTGCTCACTTCTCTTCTCCTCTCAGTCACAGTCTAAAGACACAGTGTGTGTGTGTGAGCATGTGGATGTCTTTGGAGTGCTTACCAAATAGGCATAAAATGTTTCCTGGGCCCTATCTGCCTCCCCTGCCTGCTGGCCAGCTCTGCTGCCTCCGTCTCTGGGCAGGGCTGGAGCTTTACCAGACAGGAAACTTGCAAGTGGCCCTAGTCATACAGGCAAGCCCTTGCCTGATCCTACACTAACAGACACCTAACTCCCCCCCCCACTCCCCCCGCCCCGAAAGCACCACTACCACCACCACCACTTCAGCCCCCCTTCATTTTCAGCCCACAACTCGGCTCTGCTGCATCCCTTGCTCTCATTGGCTTGACAGCTGCTCACTCACCACACCTCCTTGTCGGGATAGGCTGGCAGCTGTTCTCTTTCCTGGATGGCCATGGGCAAGGCACTCTGGGATATAGAGTTCTGAAATCTCATTCGACCTGCTTTACAGCCCCTGCTGTGGACTACGAGTCCCAGCACTCTCTGCCCCCACCACCCCCACTATCTCCAAGCCTGCTCTAACGTAAGCACTCAGGGCTGAATTATACACTACAGTATGTTGCTAGCAGGCTGCCAGGTATTAAAGTACAGACCAGCCATCAAACGGGGCCGAGCTTCGTATGAAAAAAAATAAAATTCAACTGTCAGAGCAGCAACATCAGAGGTGGATTCCTTTATTGACTCACACTCCAGTGACATTTCAAAACTCCTGACCTAAATTATGACTTATTCCTATTACAAACAGCCTAATGCCACTACAACATGCCCTGCGCACACAGCACACAACTTGTCCAGCCCTGAGCATTTCAATCGCCACTGTCCTGAAAAGTTGTTGTTATGGCTTATACCTTGTCCAATACAATTATTTTTTGTTTCTCCTAACCCTCGTCCAGTACCCCCCACCTTCTCTCTCTCTCTCTCTCTCTCTCTTTCTCTCTCTCTCTCTCTCTCTCTCGCCCCCATCCCCCCCTTCCCCCTCCTCCTCCTCTAAGTGCTTCCACCTGCCTGAAAAGTTAATGCCTTGAACACATCCTATAAACTTTATCTGTAGATTCCCCAGAGGTAAAGAGCAATACAGAGGAAGTACTTTAGCAGGATTTAAAAAAAGAGGAACCTTGACTAGGGACTACTGCTGCGACCCACCTCTCCTCTCCGGCCAACCCCCCCACCCTGCTCTCCTTTCTGTCCCCCTCCCTCATTCCTCCCTCTCTCCTCTCCTCCTCTGCCCTGCCCCCCCCTGGCCGCCAGGCCCGGGGCAGACAGCACAGGGATGGCAGGGTGTCTTTAGCTCACCTGCGATGGCCGTGGTGAAGCTTGTTGTGGGTTAGCTCAGCCCTCTCCTCTCCTCCTCTCCCTCTCACTGTTGTGCAGCTTAAAGCCCCGTATGCGCTAACCAAGCAGCAGCAGATCAACTCAATTCCCTTCCTGGTTTCTGGAGGGCAAAGAGGTCCCTCCCTTTCTCTCTCTCTCTCACTCACTCTCACTCCCTCTCTCTTAAAGAAACAGCATTCCCCCTCCGTCTCCTCTCCCTCCTCCCTATGTAAAGCAAAAGTAAAGTGGAAATGTATTTGCGCTCAAAAGTGGACAGTTGTCCAAGTCATAAACTCAACCAGAGATGACACAAATCTTTAACCCATGCCTTCCCTCTCTGTGGTTTTACAGTGAATATAAGCCACTGTGTGCATCTTTGGACACTCAAATGTTAGTTTAACAGTTTTAGCTTGTGTCAATTCTTCTCAACCGTTTAATCTCTCACTGCTCCTTTCCTTTTCAATGCGAGTAGAGTCGCACCCACCCATCTTATTGCCTGAGGTCATGGTGTCCCACCCCAAAAGCAAGCCATGGCACATTCCAGCACATACAGTAGGGGCTGCCAGCACCCCCTTCATGTACTTTCTGGCTCAGCCTGGTCTCTGTACACAATACCTGCCAAGCTTGAACAGGTGAGGCATCAGAGAAGACATTAGTTAGTCGAAAAATGAGTTATTCACTATGGGAAATCGTTCCCATGGAAAAATGTACAGCAACTGCACTTGATATTGCGCCACTTTCAACCACCCACCCCCACGCCCCCTCAGTAAGTGCAAGCCAGCCATTGTACCATGGAGTGGGATTGAGCACAAGATGTATTCAATTGATTCTGTTGCACATTAAACCATCCCAACACACCTCTGAAAACAGTCTGTAGGCCATTTAATGCACACAATTACTATATAAAACATACTTTTTACAATGATAATGTGTTTGAACTGTTTCTCTTTGGCTTCAGTCTCAGAGGGGACATGTCCCAAAGTGCAGCAGGGCTTGACAGGCTCAGCACAGATAACCATGCAGGGGTGACAGGGGCTTTTGGAAGGGTGAGGTAGTGACACACCCTCTGCCTAGAGGGCACTATAGTCACTGTCTCTGCTTAAGCACAGGGAGTCACAGCTTTCAAACGTCAGAGACGCACATAAATTGCTGTATTTGGACGTTTGGTGCCATCACTTGCTATAATTTGCAAAGCTAAGTGAAGAGGATGGAATTGGATCAGTTACATCCTAAGTCACATGAAGACAGCAATACATACACTTCGACATAAAAACACAATATTTACAAAAGTTGCCCTCTATTCAGTTTTGACCTAACTACCAATACTCAAAATTAGTTTAGCCTATTGGAGTCTAAAATGATGCCAGACATTTGTATCTTTCAGTCAAATCCAAATGGCTCCTGTTTAAATCCAGACACCCCACGTCAAATTTGTGTTTGACCTTACTGTCTGAATGATGGTTTTGAATAAAACTAGCTAAAAGAAGGAGGCCGTTAACAAGAATCCCCATATTCAAATCACTGTTTGTCTGATCACTGAAACAGTTATTAGTCAGTGGTGGAAAGTAACGAAGTACATTTATTGAATTACAATTTTGATGGGATTGTACTTTACTTGAGTATTTTCGATCTTCAATTACAAAACAATAACGAGGGAAATTGTTGTTAACCACATTTAGCTGATAACTTTATTTTCTAGTATCTTTGCATGTTCAGATTGAAAATACAAAATATAGCATTACAGTACAAGTAGCTATAAGCTAACGTAAGCTTAACTTTTCCATGCAGCCATTCTATGATAAACTGAGTTGGCGCCAAAGAAAAAACCATACATATGTTAAAATATATACATGAAACAGAAACATTGAAAGCATTAGTTACCTTAAGAAAGTCAGAAATGGTCGTCCTCCGTCCTTCAGACTTTACTCAAAGCTAGCTAACTGGTAGTGTACTAGCAGTAAACTTAGCTAACGGGTGAAGATGCTGCTATGGTTACCTGGCTGCACTTTGCACGCTGATACCTCGAACCGATTCCGATTCGATTTTTAGCCAATCAGAAACGAGATCACATTTTAGATGAATACAATCAAAGTAAATTAATCTGAATATACAAATGTAACAATTAATATATTATCTATAATAACATTTGCTGTTAAAACCTTCTTCTGACTCAAGAGCAAAGCTGTAGTAGAGAAACGTTTTTATTTGAATGCATCGGAAATGTAGCCCCCAATTAAATGACTCAAAAAGTGCTGAAGTTGACATTAAAAATATATTTAGCAAATGTGTAACTGTATTATAATATGTGTTTCTTCATGGTTATCTGTGCAGTAATTATTGCTTTGTTGAAAGGGGATGCACATGTTTTAGAGTTACAATTCCTGGTAAATCTATCATAGACTTAGCTACTGGAAATGACTGAGTGAATATAAATAGCTGCATAAATGAAAAACAACTTACAGTACATTCACAAATAAGTTTTATTTTAATCTTTTTTATACATTATAACCATATCCAACACGTTTTTATATTATAATAAAATGACTCTTCTCCTTTGTCATTTACATAAATCAAAATGTTGTATATTAAGACTGCAAAATAGTACTCCTGTATTTATTGTGTATAGCTTTGTACACATACAAGTGACAATGCATTCATTTTTGCTCTGAACAAATGCACATTTTTGGGGAAATAAGAAAGGGCAGCCATAAGCAGAGAGAATACAAGTGCTCTAGCAAAACGGCAGGCTAGCAAGTAACACCACCACCATGTGACCAACACTGACCTGGGTTAAAGTGTTCAGTCAAACCCTCTGTAGTACTGGAAACATCTGAAGTTCCATTTAAACTTTGGGTTTTATTTTCACCCCAATTAATTGGGTTAAATCACAGGGAAAAGGTTTTCAAATGTATTTCATCGTACATCTTTTCCCAAAAGCATGCCTCAAGGCTGGAGTAAGAGCACCACACGTAGCAGTACAGTGAAAACATAACCAAATATACTTCAGGGGAAAGTACAGACCCAACATCAAAGAGGGAAAAAAAGTCAAAATCCATCAACATGATTGAAATTGCATATTGACATTGCAGCGAATCAGGCTTTTGATAAAACCACCAGATAATCAACCCCTATCATGATCTTGGGAAATAAAATACACATACGGTATTAGAAAGATAACAAACCATGCTATATTATCCCATGAATACATTTTGTTTTCTCAATGTCAATAACGACATTATGGCATATATCAGGCCTCCACAGCATAAAGCCTCCTCCGGCGTGAAAGTCAGTGTGGGAGGGGCATGTATGTTGAGGAAACAATCAGAGTGTAGTTCACTGAAGGAAACAAATCAAAACATTCAAAGTACACTGATATGATGTTCTTGAATGTGCATACGGAAAGAAAAAAAAACTGATCAGCCATTGAAAAACTTTTAGTCTTTGGTTTGTGATAGTTTTCACAAAGGGATCATTTGAGTCAACAGTCATTTACTGAAAAGTGAAAATGACTATGCGTCGATTTGTCCTGCACTCTCTGCTAACACATTTGATTTATTACAAATTGGTAATCGCAAGGTCTCTGCAGAGAACGTTTTTAGTATATAGAAGTTTGACAAAGGGAATTTAAATCAGCATAGCAGCATTTACGTTCAATAAAACGAATTAAGAATTTGCAAGTAGGTGACATGTTTGGATTTCTTTGTTTTGAAATCTCTACAGCAGGATATTTATTAAAATACAACTCCCACAAGCCACCAACTGTTGCCATAGAAAATATTAATACAGAATATTCAACAATACAAAATCATTTTGTCAATCGATGCAAATTCAGATGACACAATGGCAGCCACTCAGTGCTTTAAATCCTCTGTAGCAGTGTTGAAAAGTGAGCTGTGGCTACCCTTTGACACTGGCATGGTGAAGCCGTGGTGTTACAGTACAATGACTCAACGGGCCCTGCTGCTGGTTAGGAAATAAATGGGAGGGGCAAAACCATTTCACCCAAGAGCAAGAGGGGAAAAGTGCCAATGTGAGTGATGGCTTGTGTACGAGTATGTGTAGGCAAGCAAGACCCCAGGGAGTGTCAGGCAGTGGGGGGCCGGGTCACTCAGTGCCGCGGGTGGGGGTACTGGGCTGGTTGAGGCCCAGGGTTTTGCACATCCAACCGGCAAATTCCACTTCCTCCACTTCTGAGCGTTTTATGAACGTGTGATTCTGAAAAAGCAAAAGCAAATGAAAACAATTGTCACAAAAAATAACTGGGGAATGACACAATGAGATAAAGAGAAACTGCAATTCAGGTACCCACCGTCAACATCTTCAGATCGGCCCTGTCAGCTGGGTTTTTGATCAAACTGCGGAAACAAAAAACAATACTTACATGAGTGACTGTATACCGGTTTCTGTAAATGAAGGATTAAGTAGGATTTTTTTTTAAAACACTAGACTAGTTTCCACCATGTGCATAACAAAAAATAAGCGTTATAGTCTAAACTAATTTCTGTCTTTGTGTCACATGACATTCAAAACACAGGGAGGCAAGACATTTAAGCTCACAACAATGTCTATTTCCATTATGTTTGCCCAAAAGCAAATAAACAAGAGTGTGCTTTTTTTCTGTTCACTCTATAAATGTCATTGTCGATGCTCACCATTTTGTCACAAAGTCTTGGAAGTCATTGGTGAAGACCCCAAGTGGCAGTTTAGGTGGCGGCTGAGCAGAAACAACAACAAAAAAGGTAAAAAAAACAATACAATTTGTGTAAATATACAATGAGATTTTGTGTAAAGAGAGATGAAAATGTGTGCTTATCAGTGCTTTCTCCCACCTCATTCACAATGTAGTCCAAAAGTTCAAAGATGGCCATGGCTGGTCTACTGTCCATCCCATGTCCTGTGGAGAAGTTGCAAAACATGGAAACAATTAGAATACATTCTCTCAAACAAATACATTTCTGCCATAAAGTAAACAAGTTATTTTATTCAAGTATATTTAAAAGCATTGAAAAACATGAATGTAAGAATGCTGACAATGCTTAGCTTGTTTATATGTAAATGCAGGTTTGGAAATGTTTTGTGTGCTTCTTACCGCTCACAGGCCTGCCTGGGGGTCTGGGCCTCTGCATGTTGGTGTGAGGCTCTCCGTCGGCCCTGTCCATAATGGCCCGTCCGAAGATGTTCTCCAGCTCTTTGGCGTCTGGTGGGGGGATGGGGTAGCGGCCAATTGCCAGCTCCACCAGGGACAGACCCATGCTCCACACGTCAGACTGCACCGAGTAGTGTGTGCCCTGCAGTCTCTCCGGCTGTTGAGAAACACACAATCTACGTCAGAGTGGAGCGGGTAGAGCCAAGACACCAGGCAGGAGAGAGGGTAGGGCAGAGGGCTGGATGGTAAAAACACAGGAAGTGGCAGGGTTGGATAATGGGAGGGGGGCGTTATGGCAAGAAGAGTTGGGGTGTGGTGAGGGCAAGAGGACAGAGGATGGGTGGGTTTGGCAGGAAATGAAAAGTAGCATTGGACCGCTTAAGGAAGTAGGATGAGTAAAGACAGGTGTGTGTTGGGATTTACGATCAAAGGTCTCTACAGCACTGGTGTTTCGTGGGTACAGGATGACAGGCAGCTTTCGGCACTGCACCTACCAGGTGTCTAAGAGAAAGAGGGGGAAAGAAGGACGAGAGAGCGAGCACAGTTGCATCGCTCATTGCCAAAGAACCCTTTCCTGGGCACAGCCCTCAGTTCTTGGCAGGGGAGTGAGGGAGGGCCAGGGGAAGGGAAGGCAGAGGGCGGGGCCTTGAGAACAAGAGCAATGTGAGAAAAGAGGAGAAGGAAAGTGGGGATAGGGCCAGGGGAAAAGGGGTGGGGGCGCAGGCGTGTGGAGCTGACTCACCGACATGTAGGAACGTGTTCCAACAAAGGAGTTGGCCATGGAATCTATGAGCTGGCCGCTTACACCAAAGTCGCACAGCTTGATCTCCCCGCGAGAGTTGACCAGGATGTTGGAGGGCTTGACATCTATGTGGCAGAGGGGACGTGAAGTAATAAACAAATGTACGTTCAATTTAAAATAATGAAGAAGCGTCTTCATAGACATCTAATTTGTTGTCCATACTCGACGTAGTGCTAAAATGTTCAATCAAGATGAGAGGGGAGTGTTTACAAGGTATAGGTATAAGTAGGGTAAATCATTGTATGGGTATACGGTATTTGCATATACAGTCTATTGCATATGTTTCCATGCGAGTATATGCTAACATTAGGTCTGAAAATCTCCAGGGATGGTAAGAATGTTCATAACATAAGCATTCTCAGTAGATAGAAAAAAAACTATAAATATTTTTGCTACATATTGTGAATTAAGAAACAAATATTTAGACAACAGCTACTGTCTGCCATGAGGCCTGTGGATCGCCTGCACAGCACGCAAGCTTTATCTGTGGTGCCGTGTTAATCGAGCAGAGGATAGAACAGTAACATCTCAAGCTGAGCCCGTTATAAACAAGACCCGGTCCTCCACTTATACTGCTCATCGCTGAAAAACATCCTGCGAAATAATGGGGTAAGACTGAGCCCTGCAATCTGTCCTCTGTGGTGTGACACCCCCCACCTACCAAGGACATGTGAAGAGTGTCTCAGAAAGAAGTGGCATGAAAGAGCGGGAGAAGGATGGAGGGAGACACGGAGGGAGGGGTCAGCAGGGCGCGGCTGCTGTATAATCACATCTGAGAGGCTGTAATTACCGCCTGAGCTCACAGACAACTGTCCTAGTACCACCGACCCTGCAACACAGTGAGACTGCACTATGCAGGTCTGAATGTAACAGTGCTTTTCAAAAACACACCCATTGTTGCTCTCTGGTGTGCTATCGAAAACTTGTCTGCCTTACACTCTGCTATGGTTTATTGTTTTGATTAGAATGCAATGATAATGGGTTTCACCAAGGATTGTTGTCGCAATGCTTCAAATTGATATGATCAGGAACTTGTGATGTTGTGAAACAAAAGCTTGCCTTGTGGTGCTCGTTCTAAATGTTTTGATGCAGTGCATATGGAGGAAAAAGCATGAAGACAATTAATTTAAAATAATTGAATGAAAAAAGGACAGGGACAATTGTAGGGTATTAACTTACAACAAAATGTTCATAGACATTCAGAAATAGCAATTATACCTAAGAGAGCAGCAAGGCTTAAACAGGGTCTAAATCTAAACTGGTACAGAGGGTGGTGAAAACTGCACAGCACATCACCAGGACGGAGCTGCCATCCATGGAGGACCTTTACTCCCAGCGGCTCAGGAAGAAATCACTACGGATTATCAAAGACCCCCATCACCCCAGCCACAAACTGTTCTTTCTGTTGCCGTCTGGCAGACGTTACCGCAGCATCCTGGCAAGGACAAGAAGATTCGGAGACAGTTTCTTCCCGCGGGCAGTGAGACTGTTAAAAAATTGAACTGTTGAAACAACATCAAACATTCAACTGCTACTCAGTAGTATGTATCTAATACCTAATATATATATATCATTCCAATAACTTGTATATAGACTCATACTGCACTATTCCACATCATAACTTTATTTCATTTTTATAACTATTATTATTTTTGTATTGCTCATGCTCTTATTGTTATTATGTTGCATTGTTGGAGAAGCCTGTGACATAAGATTTTCAACTGCATAATTACTCTGTAGCTATGTCAGATTGACAATAAAGAACCTTGAACCTTGGTTGCTTCACAAGCGTTGGTCAAATGTAGCCACCACTAATACAAAGGGGGAAACTCTTTATATTAACCATAACACAAATCCATTAAGCACATCTACAATGTATTTCATCCAAATAATAATTTGCGCAATCTGGAAAGAAGGCACAGTTGCCAGAATTAGTAACCTATACAGAAGTTTTACAAATGTAATTAGACGCCGAAAAACTAAACTAAATTAAATTTGTATTTCGTTTTTATTGAACTAAAAAGTGACCACGAAAGGGTATATCCCAATAATAGGAAGAATTAATTAAAAACTGGCTAATTTGCTTTCATCTTTCACCCTGTGGTACCGAATAACTGTTGTGGCAGGTAATAAGAAGTCAATGTGCTCATTAATTTTTGGCATTAAAATCCTACTTAATCCTAATTTAAATGATAAAAAATACAATTAATTAAAATCATTACCTTAATGGTCTTCCAAGACCACATAATACGCAGTGGTAAGCCTGTAGTGAAAAACTATTAGAGAGTGTAATTCTCAGTTACTGCTATGTCATAAAATATAATTGAGAGTATATCCATCAACATTTTTTGTGATCTTGCTGCCAGGATATCTGAATTCAAACGCTCTTCAAGTTGAAAAAGGCATCGTGGTTTGAGCATTATTCATTCTGAAGGCAATGAGAGACTTTAATATCCACACCATCCCTCATCCTCATAACTCAGAAATAGTGCAATCACTTATTTCATTTTCTAGACTGCACTCTGTAGCTCTTGTTCTGCAGTAATGTTGCTGCAGGGATTTTGATAGTAATTGTAATTTATTGGGACTAGAGAAGCTCCTTACCTCTGTGCATGATCTGGTGCTTCTCCCGCAGATAGGCTAATCCCCTCAAAACCTGGAGAGGAAAAACTAATTAAACATTTCACTTAAAAGTATACAAGAGCGAAATCGAACACATTCAAATATAAGCTCTTTCTACACAGATTTAAAAGAAAATGAACAACATTATTTTTGCCAATCTGTTTACAGAGCTTAGTTATTTGGAATTTATGCAAACGGTTTTCCGGAGTAAAATACAGTAGTGACTCATGCATGACTCGACGAAACTCAGCTAGTTAAGCAATACCAAAAGGGACACAAGCATAATAAGCAGTGCAATCTGCAAAACCATGTATAGCAACAAGCTTTAACAATCTTAATTTGACTTCAAAATGTAAATTGTAACTCATTTCAAAATGATAAACTTAGAATAACAAAAATGTTTAACCATACATGGTTGAATTCAACAGAATAAGTGAGATACGTACAGCTATGCTAACTTTTCCCAAGATTTCTTCTGGGACTCTTCTGGCTTCCTTCAGGACCTGGTCCAAGGATCCACCATCCTGTAGAGAAAAGTTGCAGAATTCAAATAAAACATACAAATTTGTTCTAAACAATTAAAGAACTACTGGTATAAATTCTGTGTCCATTGTGAGATGGCCCTGCTAACAGTCTTTGTCTCTCACCATGTGCTCCATACAGATGCTGATCTCCCCGTCGCTGTAAAAGGCCCCATAGAAGCCCACGATGTAAGGAGAGTTGCATTCATGCAGCACCTGCAGCTCTCTGATGATCTGGTTTCTGATGGCAGGCTTGATTTCCAGGTGGATCAACTAAAGAGGGAAAGGTTGAGAACATAAACTGCCGTTCAGACAGAAACAAAAGGATGCATTCAGATCATTCACTGATGGCTTAATATCTCATGGTAACATATTTCAGAGGTGGTGGTGGATAAAGCATGACTATAACTCTATGCTGTTTGCCTGTGTGTAGTAATCACAACACATACTATTTGAGATAGTACTACAACAGACAAAGTGAGTCTAGGTACACAGAATGTCTTAAAATGTACAGCCACTTATAATCTAAATAATCACAATATAGCAAAGACAAATTCCCATATTTCCAAAAAGTTTCTCAAGATTTGCAAAACTTTTAGGGGGAAGAAAAAAACCTTGCATGTTACTACAAACTTAAGGGCTTAACAGTCTCTACTCTCTACAAGATGGTGCTTGCTCGAGGTGCTGCTGCAGTGTCTGTACGGTGTCCCAATAACTGTCTGACTTGTAAACACTACACGTTTTCATTATGACCAAATTAGGGGAGAAAATAGCCTAACCAGCAGCTGCTTAAAAAAAAGCTGTGAATGCCATGGAACTACTGCATTTATTAATGCAGATTCACTAAAAAAAACGACCAGGATGAAGCCGAAAAAAGAGAAAAAAATTAAACTATGCGATTGCGGAACTGCTTTTTAACTCTCTCTCAAACATATCTCTGGTATTTGTTCATTGCAAAATGTTTTGACTTATAATGTTAACGGTATAAATGATTCATCTGTGATAAGCTTTTATTGGTTATATATATATATATTGGTTTAGAACATTTAAGAGACACATTTATGTTTTAGGCATGGATAGGTCATGTGAAATATATCAGCCTTTCAAAATTCAGATTTATGTTCAGAAAAACTGACCTGTGTTATTGTTGTATACTTTTTGGTGAATGTGTTATTTTTGTATTCAAACAAGGTGTGTTTTCTCCTACAGAAAGTTAGTGCACTTTACATAAAAGTGGGTGGAGTAAATCAAACCAGCACCAGTCCTGAGACGCAATGATGATCTAAACACGTCTGGAATGTGTTTTGATTTAGCTCCCTTCAACTCTCTCACTTCCCCTGCAACAACACATTTGACAAATGTTAGTTTTTACCTTTCGGGCCATGACCAAACCCGAGGGTTTGTGGCGGACTTTGTTGACCACTCCTCCGTTCCCGGCGCCCAATTCACATATGGGGTCAAAATCCTCATCCTTCAGCTCCCCAACTTGAGCTTTCTGGGTGAGAAAGGCCTCCAGTCGTTTCCTCTGTTGTTCATCCAGGTCCAACTCACCCAGTTTCTTTTGTAAGGCCTCGAGGTTGGCTCTGTGAGGAGATGGTTCAGTATAGATTAAACAAACAAACAGATAAAAGAAGACAGAAAGGAATAAAGGGATATTTAACTACACTGTCTAAATGGTTGTTTGATGATGTTATGCAGTGCTTGGTGATAACATACATAGACAGAGCATTTATAAACATTCTCTCCTATTCCCCAAACAATCACAATTGAGTTGATTGTGTTATTAAAGTTACAATAATGTTAAACCAGCCTAAAAAACTGCTATAATAAAGAGAAACATACATCAGAAGTTAACCGTTAAGAATCATAAAATACAATAATTATTTTGGTGACATGCTTCTTCATAAAAACATCTCAGTTAATTTGATGTACTAACATGCATTTCCTATTTGGTATAAATGTAAGACTCAAATAAGATTCAATTAAGACAACTTGAACGATTGGGGTTGTATTAAAGGCATTCATCTTCATGAATATAATAAGATACAAATAAATGACAGCACACAACTGTTATCATCACATTGAAACAAAAGTGGTATATTGGTCATTGCATGTGTTGTTTTGCACAAAATACAAATTATTTCCAAAATGCAATATTGTACAATATTCACAACATTAAAACAGCTATACCTTCTTCATTTATCTTATAATCACATAAAGTCTACTCACTCAGAAGCAGTATCGACGGTGTTGGAGGTGGCCTGTCCCTCCCCGATGGGCGTTATGTTCAGGGGAACGGGTCTTCTTTTAGGAGCCATTTCAACAATTACCCCAAACTACTTTCTCCAATAATGCACAAACCTGCAGTAAAAGCTGTGAAATTTCTATTCTAACGTTTTCCTGCTAAGAAACTCTTGTCTGAAAAAAAGCAACAGGGTCAGCTCTAGGTGGCTAGCTAACGTTAGCAAAGTTAGTTTACTTTCGGTAGCATGTCAGTCAGATATTTGTGTATCTTTTTATCATATCGAGATGCTTTTTATAAAGTCAGCTCGTTTTCCGGTGCACCTATAGCTTCTGGAGTAAAAACATATATTTTTTTCTGTTTTCTTACTTGCCATTAGCCACCTAGCTGCTGCTACTAGCTAGCACCAGCTCCAGTAAAAATCGTGCCCTGCGTCTAGAGTCCTAAACGAGCCTCTCGCTTCTCACCGGGCCGCCTCGGGTTCACCGGGACACCGACTCGGCTTCTTCCCTCCGCGGGACCTCAGCTACAAATTCCTCCCTGTTTCAATACTGGGCACTGGGCTCTGAAGCGAGAAGGGCTTTGGCTGGTGGTGCTTCAATACAGGAAGCAGCAGCTGCAGCATCAGACCTGTGAGAGGCCATCGAAATATCGCGAGACTTGAGGCCATCTGACAAGTTTGAGTGAGAAATGCAGAAATCTCATGGGAGATGCAACATCTTTGTAATAACAGCTCCAGTATGTTGTTTTAATGAGATAAAATCACAGTTTAACAATATCTTATCTTCCCCCTTTGTATGTGTTTAAATGGGAGTCTGAAAACAAGCTGCACGGTACATCACTGCCCCCGAGTGGCAATAATGTATTCTGTGGAATGTATTAAAATAGGCTACTCAAATACTTGAGGTTCTTTACCTTTTTCTTTCATTTAAAGCTGCTCTATTCTTCTACTCCACTATGTGTTAAAGTCAATACTGTACTTTTGTTCGTTTATTTGACAGCTTTAGTTACTTAGCTTATTATTGGCTATTACAAAATATGAATCATCTCATAAACATTGAAATATAATTATAAGATGAAGTAGTTAAAATTAGCAGCCCTTTTTCTAGCTGTGATATACACAGTAATGCATCAATAACCAGTCCAGTAATTTAACATACATGATTGTAAAAAGGACATTATATACCTTTTAATAACGTAATGTCCTTTTTATGGGACATTTTTACCATTTGGTAGTGCTACTTATATATATAATATGTGAATATTTCTACCGCCTCTGCCCAACTGTAACTTGAGGGAACCAAATATAATAAATAATAATTTATGATTGAAGAGTATGCAATGAAAAGAAAAATCATACATACTCAAAAGTAAACTCAACCCTTCTAGAATTCATTTCCCTAGCTGAATAAAAAATGTAAATGGAGCCACTTAAGGCCGCAGTGGTTGTGAAACATCTTTACGGTTGTGTAATATGTTCCATGGGCTTATCACTGGTTGTGAAATCTGTGCTTCATGTTGTGTTGAAAAGTTAATGAGTATTTTACCAGATGTATTTCCCCTAACTTAACTTTCAATAAACGATTTGCATCTATGTTGGAGAATAAAAATGTACTTCCTTCTCTTAAGATTTACGTCGAGGGGCCACATTTTGTCTCGTAGGAAATGGTTGGTATACTTCACAATTTAGCTTTATTGACCAAGTTATTAAAGGCAAACAATAGAAAAGCTACAAGTCTGATTAATTTATTAAATCACACAACTTTACTGTAATGCAGCCTTTAAAACCAGGCAAAGACACGCAGACATATTACTATATCCAAAATGTAAGATGAGTTCTAGTTTAGTGGATATATCAATATATAACCAAGCACTTAAGACTAAACATGTTTTTTCTATTTCTCTTTACTTAACACAAGTTATATAACCTGGCAGCTGCTGATTTTGATGTTACCCATCTTTCATTCCCCTCCTTCCTTCGTAGTCTCTAACTACTTCAATGTAATTAAAACCAAAAGTTTAAGGCTTATGTACATTTCAGAATAATGTAGTACTACAATGATTGTTACATCACCTGACATTGATCCCAACATGTTGAGACCTGCAGAGATCAGTGCTGAAAAAAAGATGTGATGTATTTTGCCTATGTGGATACCAGCTTAATAAATACAGACCTTCTGAAACAAAACAAGGGCAGACATGTTTTTAAGAATTGATTTTAATTAATTCCACACGTCAATAACAGCTGTTAGAATACGATCATTTGAAATTTTACAGTTTCACCCTCAACAGGCATCAAATGTGTCCCCATATCTGAGCATTTGGTACAGGACATTAACAATCTGGACCTCGACCTCCACCTACCAGTCCTCTGTGGCATCAGCTTCAGGTGCTGCTGCCCTCAAAAACAGCTTCTTATTGTCTGTTTGCCATTATGAACAACTGGAGGCGATTCAAGGCTTAATAAAATATTATTTAAATGTTATTGTCTTTTAATATGAACATGTAAAAAAACACAACAAACAAAACATTTACATCATGGATTGTAAGCCTCTGCCCATGCTACCTTATGCAGTATTATAAGAAGAAGAGATGCCACTAGAAAAAGACCAGACCCCCAGCTCTCTCCAGCTCCCAAACATCTGCAGACACTTCCGGCTCAGGTCCACAGAATCAACCTGCCGTCTTTAACCATAAGGCAAGAAAATAAAAGTTTAGGAGATGAGTTCAAATAATGACCTTCTTTGCTTAACAAATTAACGATGTCATATTTTTACATGTATAGCAGTTACTTACAAATACGGTTTGCCTTGTTAAAGACAGATATTATAGTTCTTTACATCATTTCTCTTCAAAGCGCCTTATATGAAAGATCCTTCTCAGGGATAGACTGATGTATTAGAGGCAAAGAGCCATCGATCAAATTTGTGTGGATAATCAAAAATAATTTCAACAGTATATTGATTCTATAAAGTGTGTCAAAAGGAGGAGAGATCAGATTTGACTCGACCTGTTCGTTCATCATCAACCTTATCGGAGAATGCGCTAGCGACAGTGAGGCCCCGGATTAATAAGTAAATGTCATTTTTCTGTGTTTATGAGGAAGGCAAAAGAAAACCAGATTCTGTGCAGCTGATCAAACTGACAGCGTGATGATAAAAGAGGAAAACATACAATGCAGAGCTCATTGGAGTCACTACTCGACCACTTCCACATTTGATTCCCACGCATGAGATGTTTGAGGAGAACTGATCACAATGTTCAGGGATCCTTGATTTTTACTCACTACATGACGGCTTTGAAATAAATAAGCCTTAAAGTTGGGATGAAGCATCAGATGAAAGTGCAAACAGCTCTAGCAACACCTTTTCTCATCTTCAAGCAAACATTGATGACCTTCCTTCACAGACAACCTAAACTCGGCATGGATATCCTTCTGAGAAACAGCCATCACATACTGACGAAACTAGTGCAGGTGCAGAGGAATATTAGTTGAACGCCTACAGCATGTAGCAATTAAAAGCCAATTCTACTCCAGCAAATAGATGTGACCTTATCTACATTGAACGGAGGCCGAGGGGATTGTTGGTTGAAGCGGCTCCACTTGTTCCAGACAAGACCATTTGTAATCCAATCAATGACTTTAAGCGAGGTGGGGTTGCACTTATTGACACTTCATTAAGTTTCGTTGTGTCAGACATGCTGAACCCACCGTAGTAAAGTACTCCGAGTGGTGCTTTGACCCAGGTCGGATGCATTCAGAGGGAAAGAAAAAGGAGTGTTCATCACCAGCCATTAGCCTGGACCAATTATAACACTCACACCACAGCAGAATAGAAGTCCTGCTTTCTGCCACCAATAACTCCCGTCTGTACGCCAAATATCCTGTAGCTTTACACACAACTGTTAAGTAAATGCGAGGCATTTAAATAAATATGATACTACTGTCAGAGGGCATCAAAAGCATCAGAGAGCATTTCCAATTGATTTTATTCTGCATCCCGGTCTATTTCTGGAAAAACATCCAAGGAAATCCTCCATGAAATAAAACACTATCAGACAGGGTTTTCTGCTGGCCAGCTCAGATAGCCGTAAAACAATGGGCTCAAATCATCATCACTCAACAAAACAAAAAAAAGGCACCAAAATCTCACAACCATTACCTGTCAGTGTATTCTTAAAATAGATCTGCTTTGGCACAACTGCCGCACAGTAATTAAGATGAGTTACGTAAATTTGCAATGCTGATATATCACTCCTGTAACAGCATAATAACTGCAGTTGTGTTTTACAGAGTGGCACAATCCCAGCCACAACTATTGGCCTCACTGACACCTTCAGTTAGCCTGGCTATCCACAGACTATTTCATTAACAAAGTTGTTGTTATTGCAGAGGGAACAAAGCTGAATGGAAAGATGGAATAAAAAAAAGAAAAAGAAAGAACAATGTAGGAAAACAAAATCTCCAGTGTAAAATTGGCTTCATCGATCGATTCTTCTGTCCTCCACTTCTTTCTTAGCTACTCTCTGATCAGTCTGCTAAGTTTTTTTTATGACTGAGGTAGGTTCTCTTTAGCTAAAGGACAAAATAAAAAAGGAAAGTATTACACACTTGTGTTCTGCCCTTACATAATTAAAAAAGGATATATTCCTGAAAAGAAAAACCTTTCAAGCTATGAAATAATTCTCTGGAAAGAAATAAACACAATTAGAGAGGTTTCAATTTGCATCACACTCCTGATATCTCTGTCTTGTCCTCACGCACATTTTCATGCTCTTTTCTATTTGTTGTTTTTGACCTTTTAACCAAAAACAGCTGAAGAGCTTCCGTTTTCAACTTGCCTGTTTATCACAAATGTGACAAAAATCAGAGACGTACACATCGAACGCCAATGGCTAAAAGAGCCTGTGATTCCAAGTCAATACAAAGAGAGATGAGTTTGGTAGAGAGGAAATAGTCTGGAGAGAGAGAGAGAGAGAGAGGAGGAAGAGGGGGGGGGGGGGGGGGAAGGGAGTGCGGCGGGATGCACGATCCATTCAGTCTCTAAGTAGAGGCAGGACGGTACAGATATTCACTGCAAGGTGACGGTTGGCCAAAAAGAGTTACTTCCAGTGGTGAACAGTACAAAGAGGAATCCTAATCACTCTAGATTGAAGATTCGTTAACAGTGCATGTTGGACTGTGTGTTTTCTGACTGGGTAGAAACCAGAGCTGCTAAAAGGCTCCGACGTTTGGGGGTACGGGGGGTTCGAGTGTTCCTGTCCTTCAAGCCCCCTGCCTCTCTGTCTGTCTGTGTGTGTGTGTCAGTCTATGAGGGGAGAGAGCTGTGGGGTCAGTAGGCAGTGACCAAGTCCTTGTCGTAGTTGTACCGGCCCCTCTTCGGGGCGGGACTGTCGGCACTGTCCTCAGTGTCCTCACTGTCTCCCCCTGCCCCGCCCCCTTCCTCCTCTGAGGAGGAGTCAAGAGTCAGATCTACCACCGCGCCTCCCCCCGGCGCCCCAGGTCCTCCGGAGCCCCCCGCCACAGAACCGCTTCCAGATTTGCCCGTCAGGCTGGTGCTGCTGTGGGCCGGTGAATGACCGTTTGCTTCAGGAATGCCTGCAGACATGAAAGACAT